GGTCATCTTTATTGTTAGGTTATCCAAGTGGCTAACCTCAGGAAATGCTCTTTGAACTGTTTTGTGTCACCTCACACTTTTCTTGTAGGAAATAATGCTGGTAATAACGATTCTAGCTTTACGGTGTCTATAAGTGGTGCTTAGTCAATTAACTGCATCTGATATTCTCACGAATGAACTGTTGATTTCGTATGTCTTGTCTTCTTTCTGAAGTGCCGATTAGTCCAGCTTTCCTTGCTGAGCACTCCTGATGGCTTCCTGTGCACTGCAAAGTGAAATTGGCTCAGCTCCTGATTTTACTCAATGATGGATTTGTGGGATGACAGGTCCACTCCATCCCACTTTCTTTCTTCGGATTAGAGGTGTTTTCTGAATGTGGTGGGTTTTTTTTTCTCGTTTTATATTTCGAAACCTTGACAAGTCTGACCTAGAGAGTTTTTAAAGCTCTGTGAGACCAGTGTGCTGCTCTGCTCTGCAGTGGTCATTCCTAGACAAAGGCAGCATGAAAGCTTCAGTGGGTTGAAGATTTCTCACTGCTACAACACACACTTCACGTGAGCATTCCTTGCTGTTGAGTCCCTTGAGCTCCTGAATTTGGATGGAAAGATTTTGGATATAGTAAATTCAGACAGTAAAGCATTAATCCAAATACACGTAGTTTCTGAGTTTCAGGTAATGAGGGGTATCTCACATTTATCCATGTCTCTTTGGTTTCTAGGTGTAGATAAGAATAGTCAGATTGTGAGGCATACCTGGAATTTATTTTATTGTTAAGGTGGCATCTTGTGGTGAGGTGAAAAACCTCCCTTTCTAGCCAGGTGCTGTGGTTCATGCCTGTAATCCCAGCACTTTGGGAGGCCGAGGTGGGTGGATCACCTGAGGTCAGGAGTTTGAGATCAGCCTGACCAACATGGTGAAACCCCGTCTCTACTCAAAATACAAAAAAAAAAATCAGTCAGGTGTGGTGGCATGTGTCTAATCCCAGCTACTCGGGAGGTTGAGACAGGAGAATCGCTTGAACCTGGGAGGCGGAGGTTGCAGTGAGCTGAGAAGGCGCCACGGCACTCCAGCCTGGGCGACAGAGTGAGTCTCTATCTTGGGGGAAAGAAAAAGATTCTGATAAAATGCTGTGAAGATCATCTGCAGATCTTGCTAAAGTGGAGTCTGAGTCAGGGTTGGGGGGGGGGTCTGAGATCTTTTCTAGGCAGTTCTCACGTGGAGCCAGCGCTGCCGGTGCGAGGACCGCCATCCAGCAGCAAAGATCCAGTGTACTCAGCAGACAACGAAGCTGGCCGGAGAGGGAGTGACTTGTCCAGGGTGACAGGGCAGGGTGGCACATATGAAGCTAAGGGCCAGGGAAAGTGCATGCAGCTGTTTTTCCAAAAATCAGTCGCCTCCTTAAGCTGACCCCAGATATTGTCCACTATTTATTTATTTATTTTTTGAGACGGAGTCTCACTCTGTCCCGCAGGCTGGAATGCAGTGGCACAATCTCAGCTCGCTGCAACCTCTGCCCCCTGGGCTCAAGCGATTATCCTGCCTCAGCCACCCAAGTAGCTGGGATTACAGGCATGTGCCACCACGCCTGGCTAATTTTTTTGTATTTTTAGTAGAAACGGGGTTTCACCACTTTGGTTAGGCTGGTCTTGAACTCCTGACCTTGTGATCTGCCCGCCTCAGCCTCCCAAAGTGCTGGAATTACAGGCGTGGGCCACAGTACCCAGCCCACTTTTTATTTTATTTTTGCATTTCAATAGAAACTAGCTTTACTTATTTATTAAAACCAAAGAAATGGTCTAAAAGCAAATACATATATGTACCAAGGGATAGTGGACATGATCTGATACTTACAAGGGAGCTGATGTGTCATAATGGAAACAGCATATTAGGAGGAAAATATTTCTTCTTCTTTTTTTTTTTTTTTTTTTTTTTTTTTGAGACAAAGTTTTATACTTGTTGCCCAAGCTGGAGTGCAATGGCATGATCTCAGCTCACTGCAACCTCTGCCTCTCAGGTTCAAGCGATTCTCCTGCCTCAGCCTCCTGAGCAGCTGGGATTACAGGCATGCATCACCACGCTCAGCTAATTTTTGTATTTTTAGGAGAGTTGGGGTTTTGCCATGTTGGCCAGGGTAGTCTCAATCTCCCGACCTAAGGTGATCCCCGCCTTGGCCTCCCAAAGTGCTGGGATTACAGGCGTGAGCCACCACACCTCGCCAAAAAATAGCATCTCATGTGCTGTCTGCTTATCTGGAGATGGAAGTGAACTGAAAGGTGCTGCCACCAAGGCCATTCTCCCTCCGTCAGGGTGTCTCACTCAGTGGAGACAATGAGCAGAGCGCAGCTAAATCCCACTGACAAATTAGGTGATAACAAATATTTGCTTAGAGCTTGTCACACTACGCTCTTCTAAACATGGTTCGAAAGGAAAGGCAGTGAGAAAGACTTGGAATTTTATCATTTACTACAAGAAAGGGAGAAAATACTTTTTTCTTTCAGAAATGTCTGTGTGGGTGGCAGTTTGTTTGTTTGTTCGTTTATTTATTTCAGTTTCGCTTGTCACCCAGGCTGGAGTGCAATGGCGCGATCTCGGTTCACTGCAACCTCTGCCTCCTGGGCTCAAGCAGTTCTACTGCCTCAGCCTCCCGAGTAGCTGGAATGACAGGCATCTGCCACGCCTGGCTAATTTACATTTTTAGCAGAGGAGGGGTTTAACCATGTTGGTCACCAGGCTGGTCATAAACTCCTGACCTCAGATTATCCACCTGCCTCGGCCTCCCAAAGTGCTGGGATTACAGGCATGAGCCACTGCGCCTGGTCAGATTTTTAAACTATTGTGAGTCAACGGTGCAGATCAACTACCCTTGTGCCCAGGAGAAAGCAGAAGGGCACTCAAACCTCAGGCCACCAAAGCCGACCCCTGAAACGTGAGCCATGGCGAGAAATAAGCATAGAGGCAAAGCCCCTTGCCCGGTGTCACAGGAAGTGGTGGAGCTGGAACCTGACCTAGAAGTGTCTGATTTATAACAAGTGTGGACCGACTCTGTAGCCTGAAACTGCAATGTTACTGAAGGGAAAGAATCACATAGAGCCCTCCAGTGCCCAGTCTCAGCAGCTTTCCCGTCATTTCCTCCTCCCTGCCCAGGGGCTGAAAGGGCACCTGCTCAGAGGCTGCACAGGTGTCTGTTGGAGGCCTGAATGGGGTCCTGTGTAGCGGCACAAGGTTTCCCTAGCAACCCTGCCAGCCAAACGCACGCATTCCAGAGAATGCCACAGCCTTCTCCAAGGAAAGCCTCTTCCCTGCAACCAATCACAGAGGCATCTGCCTTCATTGCCCTCCTACTTCCTGCACCTAGCAAGGGGCTGGTTTATGCTCAGGCTCCGTTGAAAGGATGAATGAACAAAGGCATTGTCGGTCCTGTGAAGAGCTTCCAATTCCCACTGGGCACCCGCAGCACCGGGCTGCACCTCCATAGAGCAGGTATGTTGTTCACTAGGTAGGAAAGATCCTGCGTGTTAGGGCCTGGACCCATTTTGTGCCTCTATCCCTAACGCAGCTCAGCGTGCTGCACTTGGTAGGTGCTCAGTAACTGAAATGAACCAGGGTTTCTTTTTTTCTGAGACGGAGTTTTGCTCTAGTTGCTCAGATGGAGTTCAATGGCACAATCTTGGCTCAGTGCAGTTCTCCTGCCTCAGTCTTCCAGTAGCTGGGATGACAGGTGCCTGCCACCACGTCCAGCTTTTTTTTTTTTTTTTTAAGACGGAGTCTCACTCTGTTGCCAGGCTGGAGTACACTGGCATGATCTTGGTTCACTGCAACCTCCAACTCCCTGGTTCAAGTGATTCTCCTGCCTCAGCCTCCTGAGTAGCTGGGATTACAGGCACAC